GCCGCCTATCTCGGTAACGGAAAAGACCTGAGCAGAGATATTTTCGAATTAGTCATGTCCTTATGCTAATAAGTAACTTGCAAAAAAGATTTTTCTTCAACTCGTCTACAAAAAATCTCCAGCCAAATCTATTTCGACTCCATATGAAAAGGCAGTTTTGCTTAATCAGTATTTTTTCTCATTTTCTTCAATGAGCCAAACGGGTTATGATACATTTATTCATGATGATCAATCAGTTGCCATCAGTAAAATCATATTTTGACATATTTGCATCCTTCCGAAGAAATTGAATATACTTTATCTAAACTTGATGTTAATAAGGTCACTGCTTCTGGCGTTAATAATAGATTATTAAGACAATCAGAAATTATTATTCCTGACATTGTTACTCTTAAGGGTACACCTATAGTTCCACATTCTTCGTTTATATGAGTCTTTACCAACGACGAAAACTTATCCAAGTGATGCCTTCCGGTTTCGTTCAATCATACGTCGATCGATACAGGGTATCGAGCTAGTAAAAACCCTAAAGGAATATCTGCGGACGGCTCTTGAATATCCGTTTTTCTGGAAAACCAGTTTTTCAGAAACTCTAAAATATAACCAAAATCTTTTCTTAATAAGGTATGATTATAGCCTGCACATTTCTGATTAAAATGAGACATCTTCCAGTTCTATACGTCCTTTCTTTGCATTATAGATTAATAGATACATATTCATTGTCAGCTCAAAGCTAAGCTACAGAAATAAGAAATTAATTTAGGGTTTTTCTTGTAAATTGTATAACTTTGAAAGAAAGGTCATGTAGAGCTGGAAGATGTCTCATTTTAATCAGAAATTTTTGATCTACAATCATGTCTCATAAAAAAAGGTTTTGGTTATTTTTTAGAGTTTCTGAAAAACTGGTTTTTTCAGAAAACCGCGTTAAAGCCACCAACAATAAATATGCTTGGAAACGTTCTGACAGGACATAATTTGAAGTATTAGGTAAATGCTGTAAAAAGCTACCACAGACACTTGATGAGTGTTCCGGCGGATATACATTTATGAGTGAAATATTTCCTAAGCATGAAAGATATAAGTTAAACAGCATGATTTCATAGTTAGGATGTTCGTAATCGGATAGACATGTGATTATTATACCATTACGACTGAGGTAATGCCTTTTAGGTAGGTATTCGAAACGTCAGAAGCGGTACTTCTCCTAATGCGTCGAAGCATTACATAGTTGAAGATCACGTCTATGAATTACATAATTATTCGTCCAAGTTTGATAATCAGCTATACTACTATCGAGCCAGCGTCACATATAGCAATTAGAGCTGGCTTTTCCATTGAGATTGATCATATAATTTGTCGAACTTTGTAACGGTATCTATCTTATTTCTGGTAGCTAAAGACATTAAGCTACATATATTAAGAAATCCTTCTATGGCTACTTCATCATCACTATTATATATAAATATACTACAACGAAGAAAATCCATTCTTATCATAGTTCGATCTAACAAATACAGAAGCATATAAGCAAGTACAGAAAACGACTGTTAATAGCTATTTTTCCTTATTTTCCTTCGTTGTTTTTCTTTCTTTCTTTCTATGCTATGGATGCATAACGTCTTACTAGGAAAAGTGAAAAGGAAAAATAGGTGACATAGACTGTAGATTTATTGAATCTCTAGACTAGTAGTTTCTTTTCTTTTCTGACCAAAAAAGACTTGAATTGGGTACATTAGTCTTCATTCCTTTCTTTCTTCGTGTATCGACACACACACACACACACACATATAACATAAGCATCTGTTGTCTAATTTCATTTGCGTCGGTCTCATCACCGACAAAAACAATTCCTATACTCATCAGAGAAATACACGGTACGCAAGCGATATGTCGTCATTTAATCATATAACCGTTCTTGAAGATTTTTCAGCTGAACTTTTTTTCGAACTATTTGATTTTTTTCATTTTATTGAATTATATAGTATGTTCGCTCATTTAAATCGGCGAATTGATGATTATTTAGCTGAACTTTCAAAAATATACTTGACTATAATCCAATCAACAGATAAACTAACCACAAAGCTGAATGAACAGCAACTGTTGCGTGTAAGATTATTAAAACTTGTGATATGGAACGGGAAAAATCGACATGAAATACAAGAATTTTTCATTCAATATCCTTTAAAGTTATTTCACCAGTTACGTTCGTTAACATTAAGCGATATTACCTTTAACACCGAACTTCCTGTTACTATTGATCAATTGTCATTCCTACACTATTTAACGTCCTTGGATGTGCAATTTGATTTGTTTCGGCCAAAGTCGAACTTGACTATTGATGAAGTTCGACATGCGTATGAAACAATATTTCGTTGTTGTGTCACATTAAAAACATTGAATTTCACTATATGGGATGATCTTAATCCACGT